TTTGCCGTAATGCTCAATTAATCGTTAAACACACGAGTATTAATCAAATGACACTACTAATGAGATGTAAATGGAAGTAAAATAGTGTCGAAAAAAAGACGCCACCGATAGACTAGAAAAGGGACAAATCTAATGCGACGTAATACGCACGTGTTGTTGTCACGAAATTCCACAGCCAAATGACTCCCCGCAACATGCAATTAAGAAAGTAGTAGGGGATGGGGTGATCTTGTCAGAACAGGTACGATAAGACGAACATAAACATTCGTATTGTTGTTTTGAACTCCGAGCTTCAAGGCCTTCCACATCATACTTTATTTGAGAAATGAAAAATTCTATTATATTACACAGTAAAATTATTATTTTTACTATTAAATACGTACATTTTTAATAAATTATTATTGAATATAATATTACAATTGTTAAGAATTATGCATTATGAAATTAAAGAATTAACAAATAAGTAGAAAATGTTACAATAGAAGTGTGTGTGCAAAAGCATATAATAAAATAGGCGTATATACATGCATATAACAATAAGTTAGTCAATTAGAAGTATTTGTACTGGTTAGAATTGAAATTAAATTTTAGTATAAAATATTAGTGTTTAGTATAATTATAAATAAGTAAATTATAAATAACTTTTAGTACAGTGTGTTCTATTTAAATGGTTATATGCTATTATTTCTTTAATTGTTTAAAATTATATGTATTAATTATTTGGTTAAATCTTACCTTGAGTTGAAGCCAAAATTGTACGTCTCAACTTAAAAGTACACAACACAAACACAAATCTGATAGCTGTTGATTTATATTTTTACCTGAGAACTGCTGGAAGAAATTTCTTTCTGGATGATTTTTCTAGATCATGCTTCTTTACAGATGATGCGCCATGTTTGCCGCTTCGATCGTGAGAAATATCGATTATTTCGATAATCGTAAGAAGTATATTCCATATTTCACCGTTGGGGCGCTGCAATCGCGCGTTTCGCACGAAATGATAACCTGGAAAAATAAAAAATTCTGATCTAATACACAAAATTTATGAGAAATTCTTTCTGAGAAAAAAAAAAGAAAATAAACAATTGTTTTCATGATTAGATCAATCATGATCTTGAAAATTGAAATCTTGTCTTTACAGTGAGCTCTTAAAACTAGCTGTAAAATTTGTTTTCGCCACTTTATTGAATTTTAAACAATAATTCATTAATTTTTAACGAATTATAATAACAAATGATCTTGTATACAAGTCATTGAATTCGTCTTAACAAATGACTTAGAAATTTCAAAAAACGAACAATCTGCAAAAATAATTTTGCTCCACAGTAATAATACTCCACAATATAAGTTTATACTAAAGATTATTTGTGGAAACATTTTTTTAATACTTCTAGGCTTTTATAAAATCGAGTTGACGAAAAAAAAATTGTATGTGAGATCTATTCATACATGTACCTCGTGTATTTCACATATGAGACGGTATCGAACATTCATGAAATATATGTATTGCGATTGGAGGACAATCTTATGCAACTTTATACAACGCATTAATTTCATATCTTTATTAGAAATGTTATTTTATAATTACTGTGTATTACATAAACGAAAATTTTTCAAAATTAAATAGCACTTAGATGTATAACCACCATTTCCGCAAATGAACTACTTTGCAAGTATTAAATAATATTTTAAAATGTGATAAAAATTAAACAAATTTGTTACCTCGTTTTTATTATTCAGTTATTTAAGACTCTACTTTCTTCAAAATAATTTTGTATTATACATAAAACATGTTATATTTTCAATTATTGCGCAGTGTCGTTTCATATGCATCTACACTACCGCCATTACTACTATAGCTATACCGGAAATCGTTCAATTGAATAACAGTAAATTTAAAAGTGTATTTTAAAAATTATAATGTTATATATAATATATAAAAGAAATTAAATGTTATAATAAATTTATTAAATAAATGAATAACTTTAATAAATATTATATATATATGTATTAGAGAAAACGGAAAATATAATTTTGAATTTGAATCTTGAATTTGAATCTATTACCATCAGAATTGCCGGATGTAGGGGAAACATGGCGATGTAGGGATTATAATCTCTATGGTGGGGAATCCTTTGGTAACACTGACTACCACAAATCTCTGTGGTACTATACGATTTTATTTAACACATTTAATCAACAAATACGTTTCCTATTTTCATTACGCATGAAGGTTACTTTTATTGAAACCTCAATCTGCTTTAATATCGTGCCTATTATACATTAAGAACAATGTCTTATCAATTATATCGAAACACAACATTAGGTAATACGTTACAAGAAAGCCTCGATGAACTGATACAGGTATGTGTATAAAAATATGCAATATTGAGGTTAAGGTTGTCGGTAAATCAATCTGATTCCTGTTATTATTTAAAATTTAGAAAATAATCGTTAATGTAATACGTTTCAAATGAAAAAGTATTTGATTGGCATTTATATTTTATCATTATTGTGCAGTATCATTTAACTTTAAAAAATTTCTATTTTTATATAAATTAACAGAATTTTTAAATTGTAAGTTGCATGTATTATAAATAATAGTTATCTTATATAATAATATAATAATGTTAATATAATAATGTATCTTATATATAATGTTATAGTATGGACAAATCACGCCTCAATTAGCAATTAAAGTGCTATTACAATTTGATAAAGCAATAAACCAAGCACTTGCAACTAGAGTAAAATCAAGACTCACATTTAAGGTAATTAATATTGATATTTGATATTAATTATCTTGTGTAACATTAATTATTATTATTTATTATTTAAATTTTTAGGCTGGTAAGTTGAACACTTATAGATTTTGTGACAATGTATGGACCTTCATGCTTAATGATGTTGAATTTCGTGAAGTTCAAGAAGTTGCAATCGTAGATAAAGTTAAAATTGTTGCTTGTGATGGAAAAAGTATGTAATATATTTACTTTCACTATTATTTAATTAATTATTTTAAGTATTTATATATTAAGCAATATATCTATAAGAGATCTATTTTTAAAAAATATTAGTAATTCTTATATTGTTACAAAGTATCAAATTTTTATATTATTACAGCATTAGATGGAGATGCAGCAGCAAAACGATAACATCACTTTTTTTATATGACTATAACTAAAAAGTACTAAATATAAAAAAATTTCGTAATAGATAATAATCAAAACAACAAAAAATATATATATATACAAAATAGATAAGTATAAATATTTATATATATATATAATAAAAATATATAATTTTCATTTATTTTTCAACAATAGTTAAATTTTGTTATATAATAACTATAATCATAACAATGCGTTGAAAGTAGGAATAATAAATAGTAATAGTGCTTTTTTGTCATATCAGAATTTAGCATTAGCTTATTTTTATATTGTGCTTGAAAATGGGTAGATTTTACACATTATATTTAATATAACAACACCTTTTAATATAATAACTTATATTTAAAAAATATAAAAATATAATCTTCCTATGTGGTCCAATTTGTTCCAAAGATGTAAATAATTTTTCAAATGAAAATGTAAGATTTATTAAAATATTTAAGTAAGTGATACAAAGTGGCATTAAGATTATATAGAAATGTAATTCATTACAGTGTACTTTGTATTATAAATAGAAATTTCAAATATTAACAATCTTTTTATTATTTATAATAATTTATTCATAAGTAAATACAATAAATTTATAGTAAGAAATAATGTACCTATACTTGTTATTGTTAATATAACGGTTTGTCTAATATTTTTATTGTGAGGTGTAGAATTTAATAAATAAAGTATAAGTATATTCATAATATATTGTCCATCCAAAAAAAAACAAGGCACAATATTAATAATTGCTAATCCCGCAGAAAATATTGTAATATATTTGCAAAGAAGTGTTAAAGATTCTGGTAATTTGGGATTAAAAAATGAATATTTAGGTACCCAGTCAGATACATCAACAGTTCGATAAATGTCTGCCGGATGTCCAAAAAATAATACATCCTTTCCCTCTCTTCTCTTTATTTGAACAATCTGCGACAGAAACCAATTTTTTTAAATACTTTAAATATTATTAACTGATCAACGTTTTCAATGTTAATTTTCAATACATACCTTGGTAATATTATCGAGGGAAGGTCTTAAACAATGAGTATCATGAAATACACATTCATGACTAGCATGACAAAAATTTTGCGATTGATTAATCATAGTTCTGGCTGGAAGGCAAGAATGAGGAGGTAAATGTAAAGGAGCTGCTTGCGGTCCTTCTATGTATTCAAAACATAAACTTCCAGTAGTTTCACTATCTGATGTACAACAGTTTATAACACCATTAGTTTGTTTTGATGGAACTGATTCATCATATTCCTAAATTAATTTGCTAATTAGATTATAAAAATTTATAAATAATACAAGAAAATTACACAGGAAAAAATTTTACCTGAATAAATGATTGTTTGACACAGTATCCAAGAGCTGGTTGATTAACTGTATTTAATATACAATCATACCAATCTTCAGTACGTTTTATAGAGCAATCATTTATTTCATATATTAAATCCTGTTCAAGAAGTCCTGTTGGACCTAGTACAGGTGAATTCTATAAACGTGAATTTTCATAGAAAGAACTTACCATTTCTAATTCAAGGTTAATCATTTGTTTTCATACAACATTATTAAAACATACAAATATTATTTGACAATCAATGTATTAATGTATAAAAATACATTATTAAGAGACTTACAGGTAAAATAGTTTTTACATAAATTCCATTTCCAACTGTATAAAATGGTGCCCAAAACCATGTGGAAAGCATAAGAATAGTTGCAGCTATTGTAGCAAGTACTATGTTATGCCAAATTCCTGCGCAAATAACTCTTAATTGATTTTTTAATGGTAATAAACTAAGTTGTTCACTGCTTATATGTACATAAGCTATGGGTATTGTGAAAGCAATTAATATTCCCAGACCAAATAACTGAACATCCTCTCTTGCTGCAGCCAATGCATGTCCTAACTCGTGCATAATGCTACAGACTGCTAATGTAATAATATAATATCCAATTTCATTAAAGGGCACATCTATACCAGGTAACTATAAAAAAATAAAGATGTATCATATATAACTTTATGAATAGCATTAAGTAATTTATTAGAGAATTATCTTATGAAAACATTTAAATTATATATTAATTTAAAATTACCATGGGTTCTAATAAAGGCTCAGAATTAGAATTATCAAGAGATGGCCCATTGGACCAAATATTAAATGTCATTCTTAATATTACAATTATAGCAATAGGTAAAATAATGACACTAATAATTACTCCTGCATTGAACCAGGCAGTCCAAAATTTAGAACGATCCATGCCCCATTTAATTATTTTACGATTAAATGCTGTAGTAAACCATTTTATTCTCAATATCTGAACTTCTAAACCAGTGTTTTTCAAAAAATAAAAGTATGGATAATGTGAACATGTCTGTAAAATAAATAATATTCATAATTATTTATTTTAAATTTCATGAACATTAAAACTAGTTAGAATTAATGTTCTTTTTTTCTTAATTATAATTTTAAAATGATGTTTTAAAAACTACTTAAAATATTTATCTTAATAAATTGTACCTTAAAAATTGTGTCAAAAAAGAATAGCGAACAATGAATGAGACCTATTGCAATTAGTACATTTAAAACTTCCATTTTTTGGTATTTTATTTTGATTTTCTATGTAAACACTTCATGTTACATCATTCTTTCTTTACTAGAAGCACATGTCGTACAATTTATACAGAACTATCTGATTTTCCAAGTAAAGTTGTAAAGATAAACTTTCTGACAACTGCATTCCCTAGACTCTAGATGATAAAAATTCGTTTCATAATTACGTTTATGTCATTAACGAATTTATATTAAGTACAGACTATATTATGATTGAATTTTGATATTATAATATAACACAATGTTTTAACAGAAACAGTTATTTCTTTTGAATCAAATTCAGTAAATATTTACGAAATTTACTATTTTTATGTTAATTTTAAAAAAATTTTCAAATTATGCCCTACAAATTAAAATGATCTTCCTTTTATTTTTCTTTGTATTTTATTATATATTATATTTATCATAATTCATCATAATATTGAAAAACTTTTAAATATTATATAGGGAATTCGACATAGGAACGATGATAGTCTAAGTCCCAAGTGAATACTGATGACTTAGATACAACTACGGCAAAATGCACACGCCTAATTCGATTATATATGATCATTATCACTTTCACTTTGTTTATAACCTTATCTATTGTTAAATTAGTAGTAATAAGGTATATGAGATTTAAAATATAATTTGAATATTTATTTTGTGCATAATTTAAAATCGTTATACTATAAGATGTCACTATCTATTGAAAAACAAATCGAATTATTATTAGCTGGTCATCCTCTAGAAATTGATGACACGTATGATATTAACCATACCGTGCAAAATGACATAGGTAAAAATAAACTTTATATAATTAAATATTTTATTACACTTCATTGATATATATGTATTGATATTCTACTAAGTTTACATTTAATATGTAATATTATAAAATTTATAAGTAAATAATCAAAAAAATATGTTGAAGATTATAATGTATTTAGTTCTAATTTTTTATTTCATATATTTTTTCCTAATTTCATTTTCTGTTTTCTATTTTATGGAATTATTATTTGTTATTAACGATTTATACAACAGAAATATATCACAGGTGGAAAAGGAACACCTAGTACTTATATACCAATTTGTCAAAAAACTGTAACATATATTGTTGCTGCTGTAGTGATAAATAATCAAGGGGAAGTATTAATGATGCAAGAAGCAAAAGCTACTTGCAATGGAAAATGGTATTTACCTGCTGGCCGTGTTGAACCTAATGAAAATTTAGTAGATGCTGTTAAAAGAGAAGTCTTAGAGGAAACAGGACTTATATTAAATCCAGAAACATTGATACTAGTCGAATGTGCAACTGGTTCATGGTTTAGATTTGTATTTACTGGAAAAATAACTGGTGGCAAATTAAAAACATTAGAAGAAGCAAATGAAGAATCATTGCAAGCATGTTGGGTGAATAATGTTAATGATCTATCACTCAGATCACATGATATTGTATCTTTGATAGAGAGAGGTAAAATTTATGTCACAAATAAAAATATTTCACAACATCCACATTTAATGCCAATTAGTACACCATTGTCTAAATTATTGTTGCGGCTAACAGTCACCTCAAAAAAGAGATCAACGTAAGTTACATACATTTAAAATCTATTTAATTTAAATTTATTTTACACTGAAGTTTCAAATTTATTTTTTGCAAATATATCACTGCTTATGCTTAATTCCTCTTTAGTATTTACGCTTGCTGTATAAGATCACTGGTGATAGTTTTCATAAAAGAACAGCAACACTCTGATTATGACTGTGAATATGGATGAAGGCTTAGGTCGGAGTATAGTAGGTACACTTGCATGCACATGCACATGTACATATACATTTATAGCAATAAAATTCTCATATCTTTTTTCTTTTGTTTTAAACTCATATTACTAACAGTGTAAATGTTCACAAGTAAATCATAATTAATAAATTAGAACTGACTATTTTATAATGCATAACTTGTGTATAATAATAGTATAAAGTATATTATAATATATATATATATATGATATAAAATTTACTAACTATATTTTTTATACATAAATAAACAGATATTTTGTTTAAAATGTAAATAGTATAGACCTAATATTCAATTGTAGAGATCTAAAATATAAAAATATTTATATCAGTATTTTTTTCTTTCTTAGATTAATATACAAGTATGTTGTAATGTATTTTATCAACAGGAATAAATTGCACGTGCTTATATCAGACACCATGCCATTTCGTTTACCAATTTGTGAAATTAATCCAAATCGCAACCTCCTTTCTACTTTACATAATTTTATGAAGGTAAAGTATATTATTTTATGATAGATTTAGAAAAAAACTTTTTCTTCAATTTTTTCTGCGTTTAGAAACAAATAATTTTGTATTATAATTTAATTTAAATTGTTTAGGAATTATTTGGAAATGGAGTTGCACAACATAAACCACATGGTATACTTTCCATAGAATTTAGTGGAGGACAAGGAGGAGATGGACTTTGTTTAACATTATTGGTATCATTTAAATTACCTGTAGAAGACGTACCTGCTACAGGAAAATTCATTTGGCATGAGTTACCCGAAAATCTCGCGACAAGTATTACTTATCGTTTACCACGAAATATGACGGTACCTTTAAATGTTATACGATGATTAAATATGCATAATGTACATTAGATATACACAGTATAATTGCATTTCAAATTTTATATATGCAAAATTAATTTATTTTTTCTTAAGAATAAGATAAAATATTCTAGGCATACCATTAATATTTTAATTGTAATTATCAAATTCTTAATTTTTAAATTATTAAAATCGAATTAGAAAATTTCTTATCACATGTTACAAAGAAATTACTTAACATACAAAACAAAATACTTAGCATACATACGCACATAATTCTAGATATATGCATATACAAACCAGATATACTCATTTGATATTAATACCTAACAATTTCTAACTAAAATAATGTTTATGTTATACCTTTACATTTTTCCTAGTCTGTACCAATGACTTTAACAAGAATGAATATATAGTATACAACTTGCATACAAGTTGTATACTAATAATATAATATTAATATTAATTATATATTATATATTATATATAAATGTATTTTGTTATAGAGAAGCTATAGGCACTTTCAGTTGGTACCAAAAATTTTGCAAGATCTCTTTACTTGAATCTTAAAACTAGAGATTTTATAAGAATAAAAATAATTTAGATAAATCTGGAAAACTAACTTTCTGAGATTAGAAATTTATTTTTATATATTATAAAATATAATAAACAAAGTACTATTATTTACATTCCAAATACATACACGTAAAATGTATAAATGTAATAAATTTTCGAAATAATGCTTTAACATTAATACGCAAATATATGCGAAGTTGTAAAATAATAGCCAAATTTGGAAGGTCAAAATATATTAAATATAAATATGTGTCACATTATAAAGATATGTGTTTAACTAATACTTAATAGAAAATTTGAGATAATTTTTAATGTTGTTTGAATAATATGTTTTAAAGTTTTTTAAGTATTTAAATAGATTAAGTAATTTTTTGTAGTTTATACAATATTTATTAACAATGTGTAACTAAAATGAAAAATATTAATTATAATTCAATATGTTTAAAGCAATTTCTATATATTTTATAACAAATAAATAAATCACTAAGTCAGCATTTTATACAAATTTATTTAATATTTCATTAAAAAGCACAGGGTATGTTAAGAATATGAGTATGAAAACTTAGATATATATTAGATTAAATTAAAAAATTTTTAATATCACAAAATATAAATAAACATTTATAAAAAATCTTTCAGTTCCATCTTTAGCTTATCTTCTACATAACAATAGTAAAAACAAATTTATAGAGATGTATATATCAACATATTTTTCAATACTGCATTGTTTGAAATATAATAAAAGGAGATTTTAAAATACTTAATTAAAATAATATAAACAATAAAATGAATAAAAAAATTCATATAAACAATAAAATGAATAAAAATTTGTAATTTTTAAGTAATTTTATCGTATTATATAGTAATACATTCACAAATGCTTAATACGTAAAATTGCACATATTTTCGATTGTATTTCATATGTCAAATATCAAACAGCTTTTACTTTTTACAATATAAAACTTATATGTAATTTTAAAAATATATATTTATATATCCACAATCATTGTTGTAATCATTAATTGTTAAGAAATTTAAACTCTGATAATATATTTTTACAGCAATTATAATTATAAAATGAATTTATAAAAGTAGTATTATTAAAGTATTTATTTAATATACTTAAGTTGATGTTGATGTTAAAACACCAACTGCATTCGTTAATTCGTCATCATTACTTTCATTCTTTATAGGAACAATGTTATTTTCAATAGGCATCGGTTTAATATCAGTACTTTGAGTCAGTGGTAAATTATTGAATGAATTTATAGATGTAGTACTGAGATTTGCAGCACATACTGTTTGCTTTACATTGTTTTCACATTGATTAAAGCTAGTGTTAATATTTACAATATGTTTTTTCATATGAGTTGTTAAATTTCCACTATGATAAAAATCCTTTCCACAAACCTTACATTGAAATGGTTTAATTCCAGAATGTATCCTCTCGTGTATTGATAAATTGCCACTATGTCTAAATTCTTTACTACATATAGCACATTTATATGGCTTTATACCTGAATGAGTTCTTAAATGAGTCGATAAGTTTCCACTGTGACTAAACATTTTTCCACAAATTTGACAACCATAAGGCCTTTCACCAGAATGTGTCCTCATGTGGATGGCTAAGTTTCCACTGTGAGTAAAACACTTTTCACATTGATTACATTTATAAGGTCGTTCTCCACTATGAGTTCTCATATGTATAAATAAATTACTTTTATGTCCAAACTCTTTGAAGCATATTTCACATTGACATTTAAGCTTCTTTCCTATATTTGAATCTGAAGAACCTTTAGGTGGTCTTCCAGGACGATTAGATTTTATAGGAGATATAGGCTCAGAAATTGTTCCTATTTGATTTGTAAACTTTGCTGCCTGCATATTTTGTGAAAATTGTGACTGTCCAACTTTTTGGATCATATCTATCTGACATTGTTGATTCATTTGATTTAAATTTCCTCCTTGATTAACTTGGAAAAGTGTATTATTTTGTACACAATTTTTCATATATGCTAAAGAGGTATTTCCCTAAAATATTTTGTTTCTTAAAAATGTTACATAAATTTTAAAAAAATTATATACATTTTAATACTTAATAATTATAATATTTTAATATTTATATAAAACTATAAAACTCACTTCAGATTGAAATAAATTATATTGACCATGAATTTCATTTTTTGGATGTATATCATTGGATAACTGTGCATGATTCCAAAATTGTGATATCTCATATTTACAATCAACATTTTCTTCAATAAATGTTTGATATTTGGAATTGTTCGAAATATTAACTTTATCATCTGAATTGACATCTTCTATTCCGTCACATTCATGTTTTATTTGTACAGGATTAAACATCTACACGTATGTTAGAAAAGAATTAAACATATGTATACTAGAAAAGAATTGTAATTAACAACATTTTTATATTATTTATTAGGATTAAATATTAAAAACTTGATTGATAAAACTGATACTTGAACTTGATTGATAAAATTATGTATGCTATATTTTTCAAAAGGAATCTAATGTTATAAACATTGTGGAATAATTATTTAAAATATGAACAATTAAACATTTAAAATTTGTGTAAGATACACATACATTTTAGAAAAGATATTTTGGGATTAATATCCACTGTGCTATAATTCGCAATTTTTCATAATTTGATCAAAAAATCAATTTTTGAAAGAAACAACATGACACTATCACTTCGTCACAGCTATATTTTATACATATATATGTGTAATGAAATAATTATTTATAAATATTTTTAAAATATCATCTAATAATTTGTTTTATTAAATATATCAGAGTTCAATTTGTTTCATAAATAATATAAATTTACCATGAAACAGTGCCATCTAAGAAAATTATGTTGTCTTGTGGAAGGATACACTATTTAATTTTCGAATTTAATAGAAATTAAGTGTACTAAATATTTTTAAACTTCAAAAAGATTTAATTTAAGTTTGGATCATTTTTATATATAGATAAAGACTATTGACATTTTAATACTTTTTTTGATTCATTATGTATGTATTCATTGTTATAAAAATGATAATCTTTTTTTAAATCTAAAATATTATTTATTATCCTTTACAATTCTTATATTATTAATTATAAATTATTATTCATAATAAATTATATATTATATATAAAAATATCTACAAAATCTTTAACTTGCATATGAAATTAATAACATAATACAAGTAAGGTACAAACTACACATAAAAATAAAAATCAAATATATTGATATTTATATGTATATATGAAAAAAAAGAATAAAATATTTCTGGTTTGATCTTATTTATAAAATATATTGTAATTATATAATCATATACATATGTAATTTAATGTATATACGAGTAGAATAAGCCAATTAAGCATACATAGTCAGACACGAAACTAGAAATTTAAAAAATATAAATTGTTAAAAAAATTTGCAAATTCTTTTATTAAACTTTAGACTTTCAAAAATTTTATTTATATAAATGCTAAAAGATGAAAAATATTTGTAATTATATATTTTTAGTAAAATTTATGACTGATTTATTTACATATAGAGTGCGCTGTGTATTACTATGTCATCTTTCACTTTAGAAATCCTATTTTGTATTTCATACATTTCAAGAGGTGAACATTACTCTATATGTTGTATACAAAACAAAAACGTAAACATTTTATACCAAAGAATTTTGGATATTTAAAAATATATATACAATATAGAAAGTAATATATATCTATTCAACGAATTTGTATTTTTTTTCAGTGTTATAATTTTGAACAAAGTATGAATAAAAATAAAAGTTTTGTGACAAATCGAAATATATTGCCAAACAAATTTATTTAATTGAAAAATCATAAATGAAAATAAATAAAAAATGTATTATAATAATAATAATGCATTCAAGTAATTTGAGTAACTAAACTGAAATGTAAAGTTATACATTATGCCTGGTGGAAGACGTAATGCTGCTAGTAGAAATGGACAAACCAAATCTCAAGCTAACTTTTCTATATCCTCAAATATTGGTATACGAAGTAATAGCGGAGAAAGAACAGCTGGAAGTGGTGCAGATGACAAAAAGTCAGAAGAATTTTGTGGAATAAAAGCACCAAAACATGTACCTATACCAATTGTACCTGTGGATGGTCATTTAACTTTTGAAGCTTTGTCTTTAGTTGTGTCAATTATTGCAGCTTCTTTACAAATGCTTAATTTATACAGAACTGTTTGGTGGTTACCTCATTCTTATAATAATTATAGTATGGTAAATGCTTTAAAATATTTTATGTTGCTTTGAATCATATATTCTTCATTATAACATATCTTTTCTATAAAAACATACAATTTCAAATTTTTCAGAATTTCTATTTAATAGATCCTTATTTACTTATATTTATTATAACTATGATTGCAAGGCAGTTTATTTATTCTTTATTGCGTCGAGTTATTGATATTTCATCACCAGTTCGTTGGTTATCTATTTCTCAAAAAATGATGAGGTATGAGTTTTATTACTTACTGTAAATTGTATAAAGTATATAATATGTATTTAAGATAATTGTAAAAATTGTGTTTCAGAATTACTTTGCTGATCGTTGTGATGAGTATATTGAGTTGGTGCCTCTATCGTATGGCTGAAAGACATAACTCCATGAAGATTTTTTACTTATGTTATCCGTTTGTATTATTTTATTCAATCGTAGTTATTAATTCTAATATGATATATCGACATATTATACATACCCTAAAATATAATTATATAAATATGTATAATAACATAAAAATGTTTATTATTTCAGAAGTTTATCTGTATATTTTGTAATGTTTGGTGTAAGTGCAATACCTTTCTTTGATATATCAACAACATCTTTATATGGTAAAGATGAAAAGAAAACAAAGTTTCTGATGGGTATATAACTTGTATTTATATTAATAACAATAATTATATTTTTTAATTGTTGAATTCATAGATGTAAAATTTTGATTAAATCTTTTTTTTTGTGCAGACAAACCTTTACATAATTGTTCATTAAACGCATCAGCAATCAGAGCAGAAGTTTCAACATTAAGATCGGATTTCAATCGGCGTCTGAAACGTGCTTTGTTCGCATCTTCTAGTAGTGCTTATGTATGTGGTATAACACCCATCATATTTGTACCTCAACATTTACATTTTAATGTTTCATGGGTTGTGCAGCATGTTATTATGTTCTGGCTAGAAAGAATAACTGCTCATTTTTTACATGCTTATCCTGTGAGGTATGTATTTATATAATTATGTTGTATAATATTGCATTTTGTATCAATTTTATGAATTCTTTAATAGTATATATTGTATTAATTCGAGAATATATAAATATGAATGTTGTACTGAAAAATTCATTTGCAGAAATTTGATGAATACCATAATTATTTAGGTACTGTGACGTTTTACATAGAGCAGCATTACATCTAGGTCGATGGGTTAAAATTGAAAATCGCAATAGTCATACCTATGCTCAAGCTTGGAATGATTCTGTTTTGTGGCCTCATGGTTCAATTGTAAGACATAATAAGGAAATTTATCGTTCAGAAGGTTTATGTACTGTAGCAGAGCCAGGGAATATAGGCCATTATAGATTTTATGTACGTGATGACTTATAAATTCTACATATGAGTATATTGCGAAAATAATTTTAAATTAACATATATTTCGATTATTTTGTGCAGGCTATATTTAGTAATCCCACAGTGTTACTTTGTTCATTGTTGGGCTTGCAGCTTCTTCTTGTTTGTGCACAAATATTTATTTTATTACGCACAACCGATTGGTATCAAGTGTTATCAATAACATTACTTCTTGTGATCAACTACTATACTTTATTTAAAGTTACTAGAGACTATCTTATTTGTTGGAAGGTTTATCATGCTGAACAAATAATACAAGAAAAGTCGCAAATGATTGCAAATTCTATTGTTCAATAAAAAAATATTTTTAAAAAGTTGTTACTGTGTTTACTCTTCCTTCATTATCGTTTTAACTACATTTCATAATTTAGCAATCTTACTAATTTATAAATTTATTTTTATTTTTAATTTTTAAATTTATTTTTAGCAAATACTAAATTACAATAATGAAAACATTTTAAATAATATTAAGAATACAAAGAAATAAAAGAGATAAGAAAATGCAAATTAGTAAATAATTGAATCATATGCATATGTATATTATATATGTCATTTGTTTATAAGTATTTATACAAATATTTATAATTCTACTTTATTTAAATTGATTTTAGCTTTATAATTGAAAATATAGGTTTATAATGTTTGAGATTATCGAGGTAGTGAAGTTTCAGAGTTTTGAAGTAGTTGCCGAAACGTTTGGAAGAATTTTCACTTGGGCATGGCTTACAGTCGTAAATTTCAAACGTTATAAAATACACATTAAAATCGTGAATGTTTCGAATTTCTAAAGATATGTATGTTTGAAATGTTTTTTGAACAATTACAAAGCAAAATACTTTGTAACTTGGATACTATTGCACTCACATCGGTAATATTTCAAATTGAAAATGTAATACTGTATATTTTTGTCATGTAATACCATAATATTTAACATATTATTTTCATAAATACATATGGTTTGTATCAAAAATTTTCGAGCAGTATTTTAATTATGAAATAAATTTAGTCAGTAAATACGAAAGAGTTATAAAATAATACAAAGATGTAGCAAAACAAAATGAAGCGAAAATGTAAAAAAACAAAATAAATTTCATTTGAAACATTTTTTCGAATGACAAATAATTTAAAAGGAAATTGCGTATAAAAAATTAAGTGGGACATCTTTCATAGTTTTCTAATATTTTGAACAAAATTTATTTTGCTTCAGAGAACATCTAGCTACATGTGAGATTTCAAGATTTTAAAAATAAAATTATATATGTTTATTCAGTTAGATATCAGATAAATTTATTGTTTTATAATAATTGGTGACAGAAACAAATAAAACAATTGTATCTTCGCACAATGTTAAGAACATCTTTTCTTCTTTCCTGTTTTCCTTGGGAAATATGTTTTGCTGAAAAGTCTGCAAATCAGTTGTAAATTAAAATCCTTTATCTTCAATGAAATGCACATATTTTTAATATCACTTTATCTTATCATCGAAATTCACAAAATTGATTATCTTATCTTATCTTATTAGTTTGCAAATTTATTTTTTGAAGAATTTAAATATGCACAATACATGTGTATAATATGTATACAGCTGTATTTGCATACATTTTACATGGTTTATGGCATTTTATTGAGACTTTAAAAAAGAAAGTAAAATAACAGTCATGGTATTATATATAAGACCAAAATGGAAGTATAGAGTAATGTAATTCTTATCCGTTAACACGATGCATTCTACTTGGAAAATATTTTTAATTTTCATGTTTTTCTTTGGTACGAATTTTTTTTAAATACTTGACATTTAATTGCTTAATATTTATATGTTCACATTATAATTTACATTAAGAAATTTTGATTTGTAAATTATTTTTCTGTATTTTTTATAGTTTACAAAAGCGAATTAAAAAACGTTCGTTTTTCATATTAATTGCTAAAGAATGAAATGTAATTATTGTAAATCCCAAGTTTCTTGCATCATATAAGAAGGACGCTTTTTAAATCGCATAATATAGACATGTGTAATTATACGGTCTTAAAATACAATTTTCAATATTTTTATATTAAAATTTAATAATTATAGTGAAGAGTCAGTGTTTTAAGAGAACTAAACCAGTAACTGGTTATGTCCCCGGAGTGGCTGGTATGTCTTCAATAAACAAGACAAACTGTGTGAACGATGTAATTCTCGAGAATCCTTTTCTATCAAATCCTCTTGAGTGTGCCCGCCCTTGTTCTGAATTGGGTAGACCGAAAACATGTTACTATAATTTCGTAATTGAACGTTATCCAGTTCTAAGTGGGTAAGTGTGTTTTAAGAAAGTTACAATTAAACATTTACAAGTAAATAAAATTGAACATTTCATAAAAGTTAGAAATTCATTAAGAATTAAATTCTTTTTTCATTTAATCATTCAACATTTTTTCTCAATGTAATCGCATTGTTATCGCAATTTGTAATTATGAAAGATATGAAAGATCTCTTAAGAGATTTAAATATTTTTGTTATATTATAGACTCCTGTTTTAGAGCATGCGATCATTGTACTCCCGATACTGCTACTAATTCGATTTGCGCCGATTGTCAATGCGTGCCAGCCGATGGTGTACCGCGAATGGCTTTAACTATAAATAGAATGATGCCAGGACCAAGTATACAAGTTTGTTTAGGAGATCTTATTGTGGTAGATGTTAAAAACAAAATTGCGGAAGACGGAATAACGATCCATTGGCATGGTGTGTTCCAAAAGGATTATCAATATTACGATGGTGTACCTTTTGTAACTCAGTGTCCAATTGTAGCTGGTTCTACTTTCAGGTATCTTTCCAACTGATCTTATTACATGTATGTATACTCTAAAATATGTATATAACGATGAAAGTTATGTTTTTTCTTCTAGATATCAGTTTGCGGCAAATAATCCTGGTACTCATTTTTACCATGCTCATACAGGATTAAATAAGATGGACGGAGTTTTTGGTACTCTTGTCATACGGACTCCAAGGAAGCAAGACCCTAATAGAAAATATTTCGATACTGATTATTCAAGTCATGTAGTTATTATTAGCGATTGGATGAACGAAGGATCTACTGAACGGTTTCCAGGTCGTTCGGCTAGCGGTACCGGTCCGACCGGACAAATACCTGATTCTCTACTAATTAACGGAAAAGGGCAAACGGTAAATATGTTTGTTTAACAATATAAAAATTAGAATTGATTTAAACAAAATTTGACTTGATTCGATTGCAGAATTTCAATGGCAGTACTACAAATACTAGTTTGGAAGTAATTACCGTGGAACCAAATACACGTCATCGTTTCCGATTAATTAATTCGTTTTGTTCTGTCTGTCCGGGGCAAATAACAATCGAAGGTCATAACTTGACCGTAATAGAAACAGATGGTCAGCCTATTAAACCCATCAATGTAACCTCCATCGTTTCGTCTGCCGGTACAGAATCAATGAAAATTTCGAGCAACAATTAATTCATTAATTAATTTAGATTAATTTAATTTAGCTTTTATTTTAGATTTTCTTAAATTTTGCGATTGATATCAAACGAGAAATTTAATTACTTATCTTTTAATAATTAAAGTAGACCATTTTCTAATATTATTTTTTCAAAATATATGTATGTACATGAAATAATATATATTTCTGGTTTTTCTTGCAGGCGAACGATACGATTTCGTTGTAGAGACTAATCAACCTCCTGGTGCTTATCGGATACAACTTCGTGGACTACAATTATGTAATGATACACAGCAATTAGGTATATTGCAATATGCTGGTGCATCCAACGAATCAATCACCAACGAGACTCTTTCTTCAGGAATTGTAAGATATATCGTACTTCAATGCACAAATTACTTTTTCATTTTCGATACTGAGATCAGAAAGAATACCTTATATTTATTTTTTTTTAATAATTTATTAATTCGTTTATTGAACAATTTTCTTTTTTTTTTATACAATAGATTTTGAATCCATCAGGTGTTGATTGCGATAATAATCCCGAAGAAATATGCATCAGTAAGTTGAAGAGTGGCACTCCAATTGACGAAGGCCTCACGCAACCGGAAACGGACTTGCAATTTTACATACCCGTAGGCTTTATTAATTATGACACAAAAGACCTGTTTCAGCCGAATCGATATGATACCTTTTTATGTAAGACATGAATTTAATATTTAGATACGTTATGAAAACTTAGTATTTAATATAGTATTTATAAGTTGTTTCAAAATATTGAACATAATGCTCTATTCTCCTAAAACATAAATAATTCTGCATAGCTGCGGTACCGCCAGCTGTTAGTGCGGCAACGTTAGACGGAATAATATATGCAAACCCACCTTCACCGCTGATTTCTCAAATCAGTGATATTCCTTCGGATCAAGTTTGTAATTCTCAAAATTTGCCATCTAAATGCAACGGTAATTGTTCGTGTACTAATACATTGAAGTTTCCACTGAATTCTACCGTGGAGATAATATTGGTCGATTCGTGTGAGTATAATTTTAAGTAGACAAATATTTTTATCGAAGCGAGTTTCCTGCATAAGAAAATATGTTTCTAAGAAGGTTTTGTATAATCGCAGCTCAACTTCCAAATATCTCGCATGCTTTTCATATGCATGGATATGCGTACAGAGTTATAAGTATGGGTCAACCATTTGGACCCAATCCGACTAATTCAACCATTAGTGTAGATTATGTAAAACAACTTGATGAGAACGGAGGAATAAAGAGAAATTCCGATGGTCCTGGCAAAGATACTCTTGCTGTTCCGAATAATGGATATGCTGTGCTTCGAATCCGTGCAAATAATCCAGGTATGTAATGTACACTAATACATTACTAACTTAACTGTACTAATATCCCAATTCTGAGGATAGCTTGTGATACCTCATAATTGGGATATTTTAGATTTGTATAAAAAATTGTAATTTGGGATATTTTAGATTTGTATAAAAAATTGTAATTTAAATTTTTGAAAAACTTTTTAAATAGAAATAATTTATAAATGTTTTACAATGTTGAAATTAATATTTAACTTTTCATTGTTAGGATTCTGGTTCTTTCACTGTCACTTTGTTTATCATCAAGCAAGTGGTATGGAAATGGTTCTCAAAGTCGGAGAACAAAAAGATTTACCTCCTGTTCCCCCAAATTTCCCGAAATGTGGTAATTTCCAAAATCCGATTAAAGATATCTTAAAAAGTTAATTATATTAATTCACGATCATGAAATGATTTAGTAGACTGTAAATATTTATTAATTGTAAAAATTCCGACGATTGATTGTTTTGTTCTGTTTCTATAAATAAATACATTTGAATGAAAATAAGTTTTTGTTTTTTCCTTTTGTCATTTATTTTATTAACTGTATATATCTATTCTATTATAAAATTATATCGATGTTTGACACGTTGCAATTTCTCACTATCATTCAAATAAATTTGGCAAATAATTGCCCACTATAAGTTTATAGCAGTGTTACGTTAAGTTAAAATTTCCCATTAGTACGTGAAATTGCAATCACATTAAATTAATCAAAAATATAACTATAATTATTATAAGTAAATCTTGTTATATTCAGCAATACAGTTATACATAGCAACAAGCTTCATTCAAATTTTATGAAACGAAATTTTAGGCCTTTATTTCTTGACATACATGTGCATATATTATTTCCCGTGAATATAATAATAATAATTCTTCTGACATTCTGTTTGCAGTATTATAATTACATTTAATGCTTGCAATGTTTCTGAGAGATTGATTGATGTATTCTGTTGAAAAAAAAGTTCCTATATTAAATTACATCGATAGTAAATGATTTGCAGTAAATGATTCACAACGTAACATAAATTTTAAAAATTATGTATTGTAATTTGCAATTCTAAATTTACTTATTGATGATAATAATTTATAAAATCACTTACATTTAACTTTTCCCAACTGGTTACCAGAGCTTGTTCATAATACTCTAGATAATACTCTGTTGAAAGCCGAATGAGTTGAACATTTTTGTTGTATTCGATTCCGTTGATCTGTACTAAGCCAATATCAGAGAGATAAATATGTTTATGAAGAAAGAAACTTATATACGTCTTATAAAACTTACTTACTTACTTCTTATATACGTCTTATAAAAGTATTATTTTTAATCCTATTTTTTAAGTATATGAAATTTGATGGAATAAAATTCTATCATTTATTATTTTGTTTTCTTATATTCGAAATGCAAGATATCTTTAATATCAGATATAGTATTTAAGATAAATTTTGAACTTTGACTGTAATTAATAATGTTATTAGTACTGTCGATAGAAAAACTTTTAGTAGAAAGTCTTTCTCTCTTTCTTCTATCAGTAAATATTAATAGTTTGCCTGGTAATGTTATTTTAGCTTATCTCAAAATACCTTATCAATGTTACTTTATTAAGATGATAACATGTATCAGACTTATTTTGCTATTTTCACTTTATTGTAGTACGTGGGATATTTCTTATATATTTATATTGTGCGTATTTTGTATCTCTGTAATATGAAAAATTTGAGAAATTTAAAATGAATGTGTTTATTTTAGAGTAGAATATTACAATTACATCTCGTTTCACATATGAAATTTTATATATAATCTTAGCTTTTTTTAAAATTCGTGTTGTGCGTGTTGTGCGTCGTTTTAGCTAATTTAAAAAAAAATGAAAGCTTATATTTTGTCTATATCTTAAAATCATGAATCATAATTATTATTCATTTCAATAAATGTATTAAAAGAATAACAAAGAGGTATTACATATTTAAAATTCTGACGAAACTTACAATTGAAAAAATGTTTTATGAAGAAATCCCAAATAATAATGTTGATATTAGATGAAACACTTGTATTTCTATTTTGATGTACGTAAAAATATTTTCGTAAATGTAAGTCGTACTGTACTGTACTGTACTGTAGTATAATATCCATGAACGAAAAATTTATTCATGCAAAAACAAAAGATTTTTCGTTTTATTTACTTCGTCTTTTGATAAATGATATAATACTTAAATGATTATAAAACAACGGAATTAATGCGTTAGTTAACATAAAAATTTTTATGTCAAATACTTGGATATAATGAAATATATGTATTTATGTATACAAAATAGAAGATAAATAATATTACTTTAATAATATATATTTCTATCTATATCGCTATATCTAATTAAATTCCTTATCATATAAAATAGTGAATTAAAAGCTAATTTTATTTAACAAATTTTGTTAAACGAATTAATTTTACGCATATGTCTTTTTTTGTGTTTGAAATATCCAATAAAATATAACAATTGTCTTTCTTACAAATATATGGATAAAAAAGGTTTTCTTTTAATAAACACATTTCTGAAAAAATAAATCTTATTGTTTGATAAAAAATTCGCAATCGCATTGGAATTAGGATTTTAATCATATTGTAGATAAATAGGATATGTACTGTTTGATTAAAATACCTCTGAAATAAATCTGTCAAACTTTTTAAATTAATTTTCCTATATCTTTATCTCTATCTCTCGTTAATTTACCTATATCTATACACGTGGAAAGAGTATTAATTTTATCGAAGAATTAATTTGTATTTTCTTGGAAGAGATGTAAGTATATGTGACTGATATTATATAAATTCAATTTTGTATTAAAAGATGTAGTACGTAGCAATTAACATCACAATGAATACTCTCCGACGAATGTTTTTACTTTTTATTCTCATTCTTGCTGGTATAAACCTTTTTTTTAAAACAACTCATTGTCGCCAAACGTACAAACAACATAATTAGAACTATTTTTCATTAATTCGAAAAATTTGATAATATATTCGTGTTATTAAAGCTTCTTGTAACTCAATATCCGTCTAGTGCTAATTTTTTAACATTTCAAAATTGCTGCAAGTGAATCAGTGTTTATAAAATATAATCAGTATTTATAATCATTACATTTTTTTTATGTAAGTGCTATTCGCAAAAGGTGTAATCTAATTTTTTACAGATCAAAATGCAGTCTCGCAATCTATTATCGCGGGTTACGCACCCGGCGTTAGTGGAATGTCATCAATTAATGAAGAAAATTGTTTGAATGAAGAACTTGTTCTGAACTTTGACTGATTTGTCGAATGCTGCTGAATGTGCACGAACATGTAAACTGGGAGACTTAAAGACGTGTTATTATAAATTCGTGGTTGAACGTTATCCCATTAATGGCCAGTGAGTGTAATCGAAGTATTAAAGTTATATAGTAAAAATTAAAAAAAAAAAGTTGATCATTGAAAGATCGGAAAAATTTTTGATATCATCGTAATATCAAGTTTAAACATTGTTTATTTTATCTAGAACTAAATTTGCAGTGAATTATTCGGATATTGTTATTGTAACTAGTCTGTGATCTAAAAAAATATGTGATTTCCATAATTTGAATGTTACTCTTAATCTCTTAATCTCTATAATCCAAAGATTATATTATGTTGAGTTTTACTTGTACTAATGGTAAAAGAAATTATTACTAATCAGAGTTAGTTAAAAAATAATCTTACATTTCCAGGGCATGCAATTTATGTATGCCAAATGCTACGAATAGTTTGTGCGCTGATTGCCAATGTGTCCCAGGGGATGGAACGCAGCGAATGGCTTTGACTGTGAACAGAATGATACCAGGTCCAAGCATACAAGTTTGCGAAGGAGATTACGTCGTGGTTGATGTTAAGAATCTATTAAAATCAGATTCGATCACGATTCATTGGCACGGTATCTATCAACAAGGTTCTCCTCATTACGATGGGGTCCCCGATTTGACACAGTGTCCGATCACGATTGGTAACACGTTTAGGTAAAATAAAATTTAAAACAATTGAGTCAAAATTGAAAAAAATTTAATAGCTTTCGTAATTGATTATTTTAATATGTTGATAAATGCTGATAAATGAAGATCACGAGAGCAAAATATGATAAATACAATTTTGTTAATTTTTGCTAAAAAAGAAAAAAAAAACAAGTATTTTAATACGAAGTAATTAAAAGATAATATAAATTGATAAATTTAAAGATAGATAATAAATCTTGATATAAATTGATAAAATAATATTTATTAGAATATATATATTAAATAAAAAATTATATTTTTTGCCAGATATCAATTTTTTGCCAATAACCACGGAACTCATTTATGGCATGCTCACACTGCATCACAAAAATTGGATGGTATATTCGGAAGTCTTATAGTACGAGTACCATATGAGAATGAAGCTTATTCGAATCTTTACGATTTCGATTTAGCAAACCACGTAATCGTTATTAATGATTGGTTTAAAGAAGAATCCACGAACCGATTTCCAGGTCGTAGGGCCGGCGTAATTCGCCAGGTTGCCGATACTTTCTTAATCAATGGAAAAGGAAAATTCGTAGTGAGTACGTTTTTCTTGATTCAAATATATTATTGCAAAAGCTATTATATTTGTATTTCATATTGAACGATCTATATACGTTAATTTCATACGTCTTAGGATCCCACTGGCAGTACGACGAATATTCCTTATGAAGTGATCACCGTGGGTGCTAATCATCGTTATCGTTTCCGTTTAATTAATTCCTTCTGTACCGTTTGCCCTGGAGAATTGATTATCGAAGGCCACAGTCTTACTGTTATTGCTACCGACGGTCAACCTATAGAACCTACCGTAGTTAATTCCATAGTTTCTCTAGCTGGTATGATATTAATAAAAATGTAAAATATACCTTTAATCATTAATTATCATTATACTGATTCAATTTTCTTTTCGGATAATTAATTTTTACAGGAGAAAGATATGATTTCATCATTGATACTAATCGAGTACCTGGTGCGTATTGGATACAACTGCGTGGATTGAATGATTGTGATGCTAAGGGCATTCAGCAATTAGCCATACTGCAATACGAAGGAGCACCTACTAAGCCAATGACCAAAGAACCTACCTTTAAGAATCCTATTCCTAAGGGTGTTGTAAGTTGTTCTATTGCATTCCATTTGGAGAATTATTGTACTTTAAAAATTTTCAGAGAAATTTTTATACAAACGATTAAAAAGATATATCTTTTTAATTTATTTAATTAGTGACAAATATTTTATAATTTTCATAATTATAGGTATTAGATATCGCAAGTTCTGATTGTTCTTCGCGTATCTGTGGCGATAAATTAAGGAACGCATTACCAATTGATCCAGATATTCTGAAGAATGACGTAGATATGAAATTGTATTTACCTATCGCTTCTCAAAAATATCAACCAGAAGAAATATTCGTACCTAATACATACAATAACTTTTTGGGTAAGATATAAATACAGTTATATAATTACCAGGCAGCAGATTTTTATGCAATTCATTTCATATTTTTATGAAGGCAATTAAAAGAATGAAGTCTCAGTAGAAATCTGTTTCTGTTACTAAATATTATAACAACTATTTCACTTTCAATATTTCATATGTATTTTTATATATTATGTGCATTTTTTATATATTTATTTCTTTTTATGTCTTGAAAGAAACATGTCATCCTGATTTTTTTTTCCTTTTTCTAAATTTTAAATCATAACAGTGACAGGTCCAAAGTCGATATCAATCACTACGTTAAGCAACATAAGTTCAGCTTCTCCATCTTCTCCGGCGCTCACCCAGTTAGAAGATATTCCTGCAGATGCATTTTGTAATGCCGAAAATTTACCATCCAGACGTTCCATGCACGTGTATTCACTTGATCAAAATTCCATTAAACTCTATTGTAGAGATCAACCTGATAGATGAGTGTAAGTATGTCAGATGTTGTTTAACACTAAACTTTTAATGATTTAAATGTTTAAATGTTTGTTTAGAGATTAAACGATTTTTCGCAGAATGTATAGATAGAAGCTTGTATATTTTATTGTATTATAAAATTTTTCTATTTTTTTATTTTAATGTCTTTGATGGAAATTTTATACTTTGAAATAGATTAATTTGAACTCCGTTAATTTACGTTAACTTATAATTACAGATAATTTGCCAAGTTCACGACATCCCTTCCATTTGCATGGATACAGATTCTATGTCATGGGCATGGGTCAACCTTTGGGTCCTTTCCGAAATCGGGTATTAAAATGACACTCGAATATTTTAAAGAACTTGAGAAGAAAAATCAGATTGTAAAGAATTTTGATTCTCCTCATGGAAGAGATACTCTTCCTGTACCAAATAATGGATATGCTATAATTAGATTCCGAGCAAATAATCCAGGTAATCTTAGTCGATAGAAATTTTTTGCATTTTACGTATGTATTAACTACACGATTTTATTTTATTTCACTTTTAAGGATATTGGTTGTTCCACTGTCATCAAATTTTCCATCATATTGGTGGTATGGAAGTGATTTTACAAACTGGGGAGGTATCTAATATGTCAAAAACGCCAGATAATTTCCCAAGATGTGGTAATTTTAAACCGAAAATACAACATACAGTGTGAAATAGGAAATTAATTGAAACTAAAAATGATAAAATAAGCTCAAAATGATCATATATTCAATAAATATACGTATATATCTCATGTCTTCATATGTGTTGAAGATCTTAGCTGTAAAGTATAATTAGTAACATCATTATCGAATGAATTAAAAAAAAAAAAAAAAAAAAAAAAAACAGTAAAGGACTAATTATATAAATCCTCGAAAAACTGCTTTCTACATCTCAGTGTCATGATAAAACAAATGAATGCTTTGTAAAACATGATTTAATTATAACTAGTTAATTTTTACGCGATTAAAATATTCTAGAATCAAAATTACATTATGCGCACGTTTTCTAATTTCAAAATTAAACGGGTATAGTTTCCGCGTGTTTATTGTATATATTAATTTGTAATTTTATTAACATATAATGTATATCAGTTTACAATACGAATAATTATATAATACTCACAAATTAAGTTAGTGATCAATAAAAATTACTAGACAAATGTAAAAATTTTAATTCGTGTGGAATTAAAGTTTGTTTCTTCCCCAAAGAGAAAAAAATTTATGCTTATTTCAGATTTTCTGGTATTGTTTTATAATTTTATTAACGTTTCATATTTACCGTACTTACGTTTGTCTATACCTGTGCACGCGCTTTCTATTAGTGAAAAAGCAAAACTGTATTACTTATAATTATCTGGTTTAAAAGTGTCATAGTTCATTGATCTGAATAGCGCGATTAGATTTTGAATTTCAATTTTACGCGCCATTTTAAGCGAAAGAAACGGTATTGCGCTAGCCAATAGGAAAGCAAGGATTTGGCGGGATAACGTCAGTCTGCAGCCCAAGAGCGTTATATCAATACGTGTCAATTATGTACGTACGTATATAATATTTATTACTCGTTAATGTTTCCATTTTGTTATCTATTGCTAATTATCGAGTTAATTTAATTATAACGCTTCTATTTGATACTTCCTCAGGTGTTGTCAAACAATTTTAAGTAATTTTACGAATTTTGTTCGTTACCTTTGGTTATGTTTAGTATGTATTACGAGCTTCTGAGAGAGAGTTCGAGTTATTGTTAATATTATCGCTTTTAGATTTGTACATTAATTTCAAATTTTCGTTTTCTTTTATTGCAGATTATTGAGTGAGTGCTATTGATGGAATCATTTCAAAGGGATATGGTTATGGACGTCACATTATGAAATCATTTTGACGATTTTGTAATGCAAATTTCTGATCATGGAAAAAAATTGTTTAGTTTCGTTCTTTTTAATGAATTTCTCATGAATTTTGTGTATTTGATTTAAGCCTTTTTTATTTTTTATTTCCAGTTAACATTTCGTGCAAAACGCGCGATTACAGCGCCCCAACGGTGAAATATGGAATATACTTCTTACGATTATCGAAATAATCGATATTTCTCACGATCGATTTTAAATTGGGAATAATGGCGGAAGGAAGCACACCGCGTCTGTAAAGAAAAAAGTGATATTATAGAAAAATCATCCAGAAAGAAGTTTCTTCCAGTAGTCAGGTAAAAATATAAATCAATAGCTATTAGATTTGTGTTTGTGTTGTGTACTTTTAAGATGAGACGTACATTTTTGGCTTCAACTCAAGATAAGATTTAACTAAATAATCGTTACATATAATTTTCAACAATTATATTAAAGAAATAATAGCATATAAACATTTAAATAGAACACACTGTACTAAAAGTTACTTATAATTTTATACCAAATTTAATTTCAATTTTAACCAGTTCAAATACTTGTAATTGACTGACTTATTGTTATATGCATATATATACACATATTTTATTATATGCTTTTGCACACACATACTTCTATTATAACATTTTCTACTTATTAGTTAATTCTTTAATTTCATAATGCGTAATTCTTAACAATTCTAATATTACATTCAATAATAATTTATTAAAAATGTACGTATTTAATAGTAAAAATAATAATTTACACCTCATTAGTAGTATCATTTGATTAATACGCGTGTGTTTAACGATTAATTGAGCATTACGGCAAT